CCACTACCTCTACCACTACGACTACTGGAGAAGAAGGCCACGAGCGCTAGGGCAAACAAAGGGGCCAGAGTCGATGAGCTCGGTCGTTAGTGCGCGCATGCTCGGCAGCATGGACGCATGAACAGATGTATTGCCATGAAGCTTGAAACCTGCAAGATGATAGCATGCTTCTGCATACATTGGCCCATGAGATACACCCTTGTCGTAGTACCTTGACCAACCTTATTGCGCTCCGGAGTATCCCTGCATAAGCAATAACCCAGCCATCTAAGAGCGGCTTCGACTTGTCCTGGCGGTAGCTTAGCTGATTACTGACACATGACTAAGCTATGCAGACGCACTCGGCCGCAGAAAGACAAAATGCAAGTTGGCGTGATTTTTGTACAGACGTACCTTAAGGGGGGCTAGGGATGGGAAGGGAGGGAGCAGCGCTCCCCCCCGAACGTACGACACTGCAGCCACGGAGGGTGCCAGCACTAGTACAGTAGGAAGTAGGATGACGACGACGACTACTGCTACGACGAGCGCTCGCCGACCGGTCGACGGGGACTGCCGAGAACGAGAACAACAACAGCAATACAGGAATGCTACAGAGTCAACTCTTGAAGGCCTGAAAGCAGCTCCATGACAAACAGCAACAGAACCGGAAAAAGAACACCGGATCGAACTACCACAACCCAACCCTAGGCCCTCAGCCCCATAACCCCTTTGCCTAGTAGTCTTCCGACAGTCCCACGATCATCACCCTAAACCCTAAACTGGGTTCTTGTTAAGGGACTTCATGTAAGTTACCCATAATGGGGATCTATAATAGTACATATTATGGTTTCTTTATTATGATAGCCTAAATTAAATTCCCCCTAACAAAAAGCCCTAAACCCTAAAGGCACGGCACGGAACCCGCCTCAGAGTCATCGCTCTGGCGATTTGCTTCCGAATCTTCTTGAACATGTGCGTCTTCATCCTGGCAGCGCGAGGGCTTCTCTAAGGGGCGGTAGCCACTGTAAGGGAACTAGGGCTTCGGTTTTAGGGTAGTCTTAGGTTTAGGGTACATCTACTATCAGGGGAGTAGGGTAATTTGTTTGAAGTGCAATGGAGCGGACTTTACGACCAGGGACTAGGGTTTAGGCTTTGGGGGTTTGGGTTTAGGCTTGAGGGCTTGAGAGGTACTCTTCGGGTTGCTGTTTGGGATTACTTTGAAGGCTTCGATAACAGTCCGATAACAGGGGTTTAGGATTTAGGGGCTGAGGTTGTCGAACAGCAGCGCTTCCAGCTACTCCTACCCGGATATATCCCTCCTACTAGCAAGCTCAGCTCATCATAAACCTAAAAACTTGCTGGCCCTAAACTTCGTTAGAGTGGCAGCGTGGCGACACTATGATCGCTGCACCGATTTCACGACCTTGGTTGCAATCGGTATCCTTCCCGGCATGGTTTTCAGCATCACCACCAAGATATGTGTGTGCGTGTGTGTATATGTATATATATATATGTATATATATATATATGTATATATCAGATAACCCCATGATGGCCACCATCGAAGCTCGCCGTCACCACTTTGCCAGCATACAGTATCCCTTGCATGCCCTTGCATGTTTCTGAGTCTCCTAACGGATCCGCAAACACTACACTGCCTCTTCTGTTCAGGCTTTTTTTTCAAGCTGGACTTCCGCATCCGTTGAAGAATACTGGATCGCTCAGGATCGGGTCACTTCGCGTGGTGTTCATTTTGCGCCGCAGCACACTCAAACGGCCTAACCGGCCATGATCCAGGCAGGTCGTCTGCAAACATGCAGCATCCGACCCTGGCATCTCCACGGCGCGCTGCATGCGCAGCCTGACAGCTTCTGAAATGGTCTTGAACACGCTGGCTTGCCGAAGCTCCATGCACCATCATACACCCACAAGACACGCACTCATGCAGACAAGCACAGACAGACACACGGAGCATGCAAGCACGGGCGAGCAAACACACAGAAGGTCAATGCTAGATTGGCAGCCGCACTGCGAACTACGGTTTGATCCTTCAGATTGTGGGGACGCTGGATACACCAAGACTGAGTGAAGGCCACAGGCATCTTTGGCTGAAGAGCATCAGCTGAGCACCGCACTTCAGCAAAGCTCGCTTGCCTGCAATGATAACCTCGGCATGAAGGGAAGCTTGTAGAGGACGAAGACACCAAAGCAGCAGTGCAAGGCAACCTCCTGCTCGCAGGCTGTCTCGCAATGTACTGACTCGTAATGTGCCAACCTCAACTCCCATTCACTTGCCACCAGCCGGGTCAAGCCTTGACTACCTTATGCAGAGGTCATCTAGTCGAACCTCAGAAGCCCCAAAACATGCCACAAGGCCCTAAGACCCGAAACCGTAATCACACTCTCCCCAACCCCCCGACTTCCAGACTTTCGTACCAAAATGTCCCTCAGATACTGGGCACCAAGGCATCTTCGATTTCCTGATCGAAGGCTTGCTCCTCCAGTGTCATCTGCCTTGCACTTATATGTATGTTGTATATTATATCTTAGATTCGACTTCAGTTCTGGAGGTGATTCTTAAGGGTGCAGAGACTGTCTGCGCCAACCTCCGGAGCTTTTGCAAGGCGTCGGTGGTCTCTTCAACCTTCCGTGGTGTGCTGAGATCGAGGGTCAGGGAGAGTGAAGGAGTCGCAGCAAGCAGTAAGTAGCAAGAAGCAAATAGTACGTGGTAGTATGCCAGCTCTTGAGTGACAAGATCGCCTGGAGCTTGTCCACCAAGGAGGCCGTGTCTGGATCGTTCCACCAGGCACTGTCACAGGGCTTTCGGAGTTGACATATGATTGCTACCCCGACCATACACTTGGGCTGTTGGATTGATACTGTGAGGTTGGCGTCCGGGACAAATATCGTTGATTGCAGACAGCGAGAAGGGTGCCTGCCTGTAAAGTCACTTTCTACTCCATGAGTTCCGTCATTGTAGGGACAGCACCTGCCCTCTCCATCCCGACACTTCCAAGTTCTCAAAGGATCATGAGACTTCGTAACCGGGGTCACATACAGAGTAAGCGAAGTAAAAACAATATATATATATATATAAGTTTTAGCGAACCTCAATCAAAATACTGTACCTGTACTTACTAAGTCCCCTGATCCTCCATGCGCTCGTGGCTTTCTTAGTTTGCAGCGGCCTGCTGTCGACAGCGGCACTGCTCCCATCCTGCCCAACTTGGACAACAAGAACCGAAAAGGCAAAGAACCAAAAATGTCCGTGGTTTTGAGTTTTGGTTGTTGTTAAGAGTTTTGGGTCACAGCGGGAGTGATGTTTGCGCTTCAGTCGCGCCCCTGGCAGGAGGGGTGTAGGACGGAGAGTAAAGCGCTGGGATTCGACTGTGTTTGACCCTGGCATATCACAAGGCATCAAGCAGTGTGGTGGTTGCTTGGTCACAGCTGCCCCGTAGTAGCACTGATAAGAACCCTTCTTCATTCATCCCCTACATGGTAACCCCGATACTGCAATGACCATACATGACCCTCATTACCATATGTAGCAAGACCTACTGCTTCCCAAGCGCATGAGAAGAGTTGTTGTCAGCAGGCAGACACGGAGCCTCGAAATCGCTGAGTGGCCCGGCGTCGTCTCCCTCCGCTCTCCGCAGCCTCATATATATATATGATATCAGGTAATATAGTACAGCATAATATGACAGGATATATTGTAATAATAATAATAACAATAATAAAAATAATAGTAATAGCAATAATGATAATGAAAACAATAATAATAATAATCACAATACATATTAAGACATACATACATACATACATATCGCTGCGGGAGACATGAGTGCAGCAAGCGGAGAGTTGAGGGCTTAGGGATGTTCAGGGTGTAGGGCCTCGGGTTGAGGGTGTAGGTTTGGGGTTCAGGATTTAGTTTAATGCTTAGGGTTGCGGGCTGAGGGTCTAGGGCCTAAAGTCCTAAAGGTTCGGACTTAGGGCTTTGGGTTTAGAAGGCTTTAGTAGGGGTTTAGGGCTTAGGGCTACAGGTCCTCCAGTTTGCAAGGGTTGACGACGCAGTTGCCCAGAGGCTCCACGAAGCGCTGAACCGCATGGGGTAAGATAGGGGCCTTGCTAATCAGAGTAGGGCCTGGGGCGTATTTCTACTGTAAGTATACCGTGGACCCTAAGGAATGGACGTATTCGAACCTACTATGGGGCCCAAACTGTATGATGATGAACTATTCAGACTGCCATGCAAAAAAACAAAAAACAAGCCCGCGGCAGTCTGTCTGATCGTGACCTTCTGGCCTCTGACGATCCCCACCTGGATGAGTTCCTACTCGATCTCAAAGACTTCTAACAGGGTTCGGGGTTATATTCTGTCGAACAGAGGACTATAAAGGGGCAGTATTACTGACTACTCAAAAAATACTACACACACTCGGTCGCACGGACGCTGCAACTTCGCCGGGCTGCCGAATGAAGCAGCGGAGTAGCGAGTGAGCGAGACACCAAAACTCACCCTGAGTCAAGCAACTGCCACGTCCGAGGCTCTGGCAACCCAGTCGGCCCCTGCAAGAAACAGAGCGGAGAAACCTGGGCAGGTCACGATTGCTTCCCACACTGCGATTGGTGTGCCTCTTCTTGCGCTGACAACTGCTTTACTGTGTAGGCTTGCAGACGACTTCGGCTGCCCTGCTTCACTCGCTTTCGACGCAGCGGGGCCCACGCAGATACGCTCGCCACAATGGCCTGGGCCGCCAGGGCAGGCAGACCCGCACTTGTACTGAAAAAACGATGCTAGCAGAAAGGCAGAGCTAAAGTGCAGGACGCTCCTCCGACTGTTTGAGGCTTAATCCAAGTTGCTGCGAGGACTTGCCGGTGCCGCAGCGCCATGCCGCCTGCTTCTCGCTCTGCCGCTTGACATGCTCCAACGGAGTAACAACAGACTATGCCGAGGTTTTGGGCCCCTGTTTCCCTGACTGTGAGTCACACGCACGGGTGCTGAAAGCAACATGTACAGCGCCTCCAGGCATCCCGGCAGATTGCACAAGCTCGACTTGCCTTTGCTCTGACTTCTCCTTTTTCCTTAACCCTAACCGCAAGGGCATGCGAAGCCTGGATTGCCGTCCAGGACGTGGCGCGGCCAAGAACCCAGCGCTACGATTAGGAGGTGAGGTGATGCAGGTGTCCCGATTGGTTGCACTGTTTCATAATTGGTTGGTCCTAGGTGACCTTCTGATATCGATTTGCTTTTCAATCTAGACTCCTAAAGTCCCAGCTCACACATGCCTCGGGATCTCAGGACGTAGACCATGATCAGCAAATAGCACCCAAGACAAGATAGATTATGCTCTCTGCCTCTGCCCGCATGCAGCCAAGACGACGGTGACAACAAGTTGTCCCTTCCTGAATCCCACAAAGATGCATGGCTCCTCGTCACGCTGACTGCATGGACCCGCAAGCAACGCTTTGTTTACCTATGCTCGTGCCAAGTCTCCCAAAAAAGAACTGCTTCTGTCCCAGGTAAAATAAGCAGGCAGTAGAAACTCAGCGGTTGATTCTATCAAGACCGAAATACCGTCACATTGCAGCACCTCATGATATTCATTAATGACGATACCGACAAGATTACCATACCTGGCAATAATCATAACAATAAGAACAAAAATGACTCAAACTGACAATAGCCCTCACAAATTTTGATCATTGCCATAACAGCGGCAGTGATAGTAACCAATAACACGACTCATAACAACAACAATAATCCCAAAGTGTCAAATCGTATCTGGCACCTGCGTACATCCATGTGGCAGAATGAGCAACAAACATACATGTATACAGAGGTGCTATAAGCGTATGCAATGCTACAACATCTGCCGCACCCTTTTTGCTCCAAAGGCTCTTTCGCGCTTTTCAAGTACGAGAGCGCGAGCATTCCGTGCCCGGGCATTGGCCTGCCACGCCCGACTCGCTTCAGAAGAGTTT